GGAGGGGGGCACCGTGGGAACCGGGGACCTCGGGGACTCTGAGCAGTGGCTGTCAGTTCCTGGGGTGCTGTCCGCGAAGTGAGGGCGCGCAGGCGAAAGAGCGGGCTGGCGGGGAGGACGCCGCGCGGGGAGGCAGCGACCCCCGCCGTTCCGGGCTCTCCCCGCGAAAGGGGCCGAGCGAGCGCTAACGCCAGCCGCGGCCCTCGGGGCGGGACCCGGGAATCCCGTACCCGGGCTGGACACCTGAGGGGCGGGGACGCCCCCTCCCAGCCAAAGCGAACGCTCCCTCACCCCGAGGCTTCGGGCGTGAGGCCCGCGGCGGCCGGGCTGGGCACCGTGCGGGACGCCCGGGGCGGGGGTGCGGACACCCCCAACGCTGCGCAAGGCTCGCACCGGAGCAACGTCCGGGCTAGAGAAGTTGGGGGCGAACGCGGGAGGCTGGGGGCGAGGCCCGCGTAGCGCCGTGGGAACGGGCCCTGGACGGCGGGAGTCGGGAGGGGCGAGAGACACCGGGACTTACCGAGCTGCTCCCTCATGCTGCCCCGCGCCGCCGCCGCCGCCGCCGCTCCGGCCGGCAGGGGACCAGCGCGACCCGCCCCGCCCGCAGCCGCCGCGGCGGAGCATGCCCGGAGCTGCCGCCGCCCGCCCCACCCACCATCCGGCCTCGCCCCGCCCACATCCCCGCCCACCGCCCGGCCTCGCCCCGCCCACATCCCCGCCCCGCCCGCTAGGTGGCCTCCAGGCTCCGACTCTCTCCGCGGGAGGGCGGCACCCGGGTGGGGAGACTAGCTCACCCGCCTCGGGTGGGCCCTGCGTGGGTGGGTCGCCCCAGAGGCACAGGTGAGCTGGACACCCTTCTTCCTCTGTGCCTGTCACTTGGGTTTGGACAGCTTCAATCCTGTGCAAATGTCCACACACAGATATGTACAAAATAAAAATATTCATATACAGATGCACACACACTTGTATATAATTACACACAGATGCACATAAACACACCCATATGCAGTCACACACAGATGCATACAAACACACTCATTCGGTCACATGCAAACTCACACACATATACACACTCACACAAAGACACACATACAAAACAGACACACACAAACACCCATACACACACACACACTCTTTCACAAAAATGCAATCATGGAAGGTGCGAAGAGCAGAAAACAGCGCCAGTGACAACATCTTAGTGCTTGGGATTTCCTTGTTTTATAAAAGGCCTCTAAGAGTCTTAGCTATAGGCTGGAGGCTTTAGAGGTTAGTCTATCCTCTCTTGTGACAGATGAGGAAACTGAGACTGGGACTAGGATTTGCCTAAAGACAAGAGTAGGAGGGGGTCAGTGGGAGAGTTCAGACCAGAATGAACAATTGCTCCTAGCCCCCTCCACCTTTCCCAGGCAGCAGCGATTAGACCACTGCCAGGTCCACTCAGGGGCATAAGCCCTTGTACTTTGGAAGGTGGAGAAGAGACGTAAAGCGCTCAAGTTTGCTGATGAGTTGGGGAGAGGGAGAGGGAGAGGGTGTTGGCTAAGTCAAGTCCAAGGGGGCACACATGGATGGCAGAGCAGACTGGAATCCCCACAGAATGAATTTTTAGAAAACCTCTTCGCCCCACCACGGATCTAGTGCCAGAACAGCAGTAATACCCAAAGTTGTTTGCACTGTCACCATGGGTGACCCCAGGCGGAGCCCTTCATGTGCATTGTTTTCTTTTAATCCTCACTGCCGGGACTGGGGCTCAGGGAGGCCCATAGATAGGAGCTGCAGAATCAGGCCAAAGACCCTTGCCCTGAACCCTGACCATGAAGAGCATATGGGCCAAAAGAGCAAAAGAGCCAAACATACTAGAAAAGAAAAACAATCTAATCCAATGTTCTGTGGTGCATTATCTACAGCGCATCCAAGGAAACCACACTGGGGACACTGCAGAAAGGACAGCTCGATCAGGTGCTCAAGGAAGAAGGCGTGGATCCGATTTGGGGTGCTCCTGACACTTTCTAGATGTGTTACTTTGCTTCTGTCCACTTCAATTTCCTCTCTAACAAAATGGAGATAATGACAGTGTTCACCTCCTAGGAAATGAGAATTAAAGGAGGTAAGTAAGGCCTTCTGCACACTCAGCATAGTCCCGGCAAGTAGAAAGTGCAAGCGTAGAAAGTGGCAGCTCCCACCACGGGAAGTTCTGTGGGCTGGAGCCTCCAGGGGAGGCCTTCTGGGGGGCACCCTGGAGAACAGGTGGGTTGTGTCTAGGCAGAGGCAAAGGGTGTCATCTCCAGGCTGAGGGAGTAAGATGAGAAAAAAGGAAAATGAATCACAGAGGCTTTTCTGGAAAATTGTAGTCATATATAGTGGTGACATTGCTTCTTGCCATAAACACATCTTTCAGGGACAGAGTGCTTCAATGACATACAATTCCCATTTGTCCTCAGTTTGTCAACTCAATGAACTAACTTCTTCTTCTTGTGGAATGCCTCTACGTGCCCAGCACTGCGCAGACACATATGGAGCCAAATATTCCTACAAGACCATTTATCAGCCAGAAAACGTATTCGAACAATGTTATATTGTTGGGTTTCTGGGTCAACCCCACAGAAGTTTTATAATGTCACTGAAAAGCTATATAGTTGCACTAGAGAAGAAAAAAAAAAAAAAAACTGAAGCAATGCTAGCAGCTAAGCTAAACACACCCGAATAAAGTTTAATAAGGAGTTGTGTCTTAGCAGAAAGGTTGGTAAAGGCAGATTTCATCAGATGAAGATAATGAGATTGAGATATTGTAGATTCTCAAGAAGATGACTATGCAATTTCCAAGATTTTTGTGGTTTCTGAGCACTGGCTCTTTATCATGACAACCTCATTTCAAGATGTTTGGCTCCCTTCTTTCTCCAGCAATGATGTATCACTAGCCCTGCTCTATTGCTTCCCAACCATGACTAAGCCCATTTCAAATGAGCAAGCAAATGAAAAACATGAGGACAGAAAGTGGTGGATGGGCTGTAGAGCAAGGAGAAAGGTGGGAGATTTTCCCAAAGATTTGAAAATAGAATAATGAAGAAGAAGGAGGTAAGGTTGAAAAGATAAATGAGTATGAGCGGGTGGTTGTCTGAATTACAAAGATAGAAGACAGAGGCAAAGGAGAGGGTGGTGGTTCCCCAGAGGAGGATAAAAGTTGGTGAGGTCAATCCATTGGGCAATATGTCACACTGGTGACCGGGACACAGACACAAGGTGGTGGACAGGACATGTGAGAAGCCAGCTGTGTGTACGCATGTAGTCTTATGCATTTTATATACATATGGATGCATATGTTGGTGGTTATGATTTTAGAGAAAAGGAAATTTCTTCATAAGTCGGGACTTTATAGCTCAGAAACCACCTGTGTAAGTTTTATTTTGACTGTAAGAAGAGTCATATTCTTCTCCTCATCTCCACCCACCCCACTTCTGTGCAACTTCAGTCCCTTTCTCCTAACTACTTGATTTGGAGAGGCTTAAACACAGGAAGAAAAATATCTATCTCCTGCTTAGGTGACATATGATATAAAATATGATTTAAAACAACTTTGAGCATGATGCTGTTAGGAACCCAGCTCTGGTGGGAGAACATGTGCCAGATTCCAGCCCTGGGTGACCTACTGTCCCTCCCTTTCTCTGAGTCCTGGAGAAGGGATTTCACAGACTCAGGAAGGAACTTGGATTGTTGAGTCATCAGGGCAGATGTGCAATGACCAGAGAAAGAATGCTTAATGGCCTCTTAAGGGGGAAAAAAGAAAGAAAGAAAGAAAGAAAGAAAGAAAGAAAGAAAGAAAGAAAGAAAGAAAGAAAGAAAGAAAGAAAGAAAGAAGGAAAGAAGGAAAGAAGGAAAGAAGGAAAGAAGGAAAGAAGGAAAGAAAGAAAGAAAGAAAGAAAGAAAGAAAGAAAGAAAGAAAGAAAGAAAGAAAGAACCCTTGTTTCTTTAACTCCTTGCCTTTTCAAGGACCTAGAATAACCCTTTTTCCTCCTTGCTTTAGGGCTCTTTTGTGATGACCTAATATACGGTTTCCTTTAGCTGACTTAGATATTCTTTGATGTTTTTCTTAGTTTGAAAAACACCACCAGTTCTCGTTTTTTTAAAGATTAATGTCCTTGATAAAACCTTGAATCCTTCTGGTTAGCTTGCTCTAAACGTCAGACAATAATTATTATACAAAAACTAGAAAAGGTTTTATATCAACAAGTGCTAATAAGCCTTATTTTTCAGATATTGACATGCTCTGTATTAATTTAGAGGCTATTCCCCATAATTATTTTTAGCCACAAACTGGAAATCTGTTTCTCAAACTGCGTTCCATAGCTCACCTAATTTAGGATTAATGGTGGGTTTGACTGAAAGCCAGATGCCTGGCCCTTGTCCACACTGGACACAATCAGAATTTCTAATTACTGCAGTTGGGACCCAGGATTCTATACTCTTAAAGTGAATATCCAGTAAATGTCCAGATGATTGTTACACAAGTAAAATTTGAGAAGCAAGAATAGAGCATAAGAAATAGAGTGTGTCAAAACCTAACAGAATGATTGGCACATAATAAACATTCAAAATACAGTAGTCATCAACATCATTGTATGATGGTGAAGAATGCACAGCAATGCCCGTTGGGAATAAAATGCAATAGATGTTTGTTAACTGTTGACTTAGAAGATTTGACACCACCCCAGACAGAAAATTCACAAACCTGGGGATTAAGACAAGAATAACAAACATTTTTAAGTCATATACCTTCACTCTAAGGAGAATAAATCTGCATAGTTATTGCATGAGAAAAATCATTTTTAATTATTTGCTATCTCTTTGTTGGCTTTTTCCTCCATGAGGCTACACATTAATGGGAAACAGCCTAGCTCTGCTTCTCTCCCAAGCCCTGTCGCCACCCTAGCAAAGGGTTGCTGTTTACTGGAACATTCCAAGCATCCCCCTGCCTGTAGTCGGCAATTCTTTGCCAGATTCATTAGGAAAGCCCTGTTTTCCTGTCCTTCATGGAATGACAGTGGCTGGCTGGGATCCCACTGGTATAAGGCAGATGCACATGTGACTTCAAAAAGACAGTGATGTGGCCAGCACCAGACTGGTCCAGACATGGGCATCCCTGAGCTGTGCCTCTTATCATCACACACCAGCTAATCAGCGATCAACCAAAAACAACTACAGCATTTTCTTTAACCTGTGTGACTTCTTATTTAAAAAATGGGAACTATGTAAACAAAAAGGAAACAAGTTGGTTACCAGCATTCATTGAAAAAAAAAAAAAAAAGGCTTTCATTTGGGAAGAAAGTGATGTATTGGCCTTTTATTAAGTTGGGAATAGCTAGCAACACAAAAATGACACCAAATTGGGAAGGAGATGTGTGAACTACCTTTTGTTTAATGTTTCTTTTTTTTTTTCGTTTATTTATTTATTTTGAGAGAGAGAGAAAGAGAGAGAGAGAGAATAAGCATGCAAGAGCATGCAGGAGAGGCAGAGAGAGAAGGAGAGAGAATTCCAAGTAAGCTCTGCACCATCAGCACAGAGCCCGATGTAGGGCTCGAACTCACAAACCACAAGGTCGTGACAGGAACCGAAATCAAGAGTTGGATAGATTGGAAATCTCCTGTATAAGAAAACTTTCTATGCCTTGGCTTGGTTGCCTCCGTGAAACATCTCTATCGTTGTGTTTAAGCTGCTGGTACAGCATCTGGCGTGGCATACTTTGCACTGGCTTCATCAGTACATGTGTTTAGTTCCACTACCAGATTCTGAGTTCCTAGTGGAAGGGATTGTTCATCCCCATCCCAACCGTGTTTTCTTTACTTCTATACTTGTCTATGCGGCATCCACCAATTTACAGTCCAGGGCCAACCTGATGGCCACAGTTGTTTACAACCCCCTGAGATGTAGAACCTGTCCTCTAAACCACATCCTTATCTATCTGTCACATACCAAGTCAGTACCTTCCCTGCCCCAATCATCCCAGGCAGCTAGCGACAGCCCCTATCATCCCCTCCCCCACTGCCTCAAAGCCCACTAGAGTTATTCAAACTAGCTCATCCTTAGCTGATTACCCAGCCCTTTTGCACAAAGACTCCAATAAAAGCTGTGATCTGTGCTTTTTCCTTGCTTCTTTCTGTGCCCTGATGGACACTGGTGTTTCCCCCTGTGGCCCAGCAGGGCGTGCCATGCCTGTTTCTAGGGGATCTGTGAGTAACTTGAAACTTTTCTTTTTCTATTCATTCATTCACTTATTTATTTATTTGTTTATTTATTTGAGAGAGAAAACATGCATGCAAATTGGGGAGGGGAAGAGAGAGAGGGAAACAGAGGATCTAAAATGGGCTCTAGGATCTGAAATGGGCTCTAGTGCTGACAGCAGAGAGCCCGATGTGGGGCTTGAACTCACGAACCTCAAGATCATGCCCAGACATTCAACCGACTGAGCCACCCAGGTGCCCAGAAACTTTTCTTTCAATGGCACTGACCTCTCCAGGTTGTCACTCAGTCACCTTTATAAATTACTACCCAGATAAAAATCAGTCCCTCTGTTTACCACAACCTAGCACTGTACCTTGGGCAGCTAGGTGAAACAATTATCTATAGAATTGAATGGATGAATATCTCGGAAGTGAAAAGTGATCATTTAAACTCACACTGCAAATACGAAGTTATAAATCCTTGCTGTACGAATGCAGTCAAAACACTTAGGTGAGGGTCAAGGGTTACCAAAGGAAAAATGGCCAGCACGTTTGAAAAGAGCTAGAATTTTCTTGAATTATTTCTGTCTGTTTTAAATCTGTTTGGAGTTTTACTTTTGCTTTTTCCATGTTCTGCCTTAAAAACAGCTTCCTCTCCTCAAACTCTGTTGATTAGCCTCTTAAGTACCTGGGTGACACAGACATCAGGCAGCTTGCATGCTATTTGTGTCTTTGGTGTAATCCAACAAAAAGTAAATTTCTAAAAGCAAGCAATATAAACATGCAAATAAGAGAGGGCAAAGGGAATAGTTAGTAGTTTGTAGGAAGGAAACGGACAGACGTGAAACATAATTCAGAGAAAAGAAAATAAATTAGTGAAAGTCAGCTTTCCATCAGCAGTAGTTAAAAGGTAACAAAGTCCAAGCCCAGTGTCTCATTTGGCTGGAACATTGGTTAAGTGACCAGAATAGTTGCAGCAGTGTGTCTTTTGTCACCCACCCTCCCCTTGATAACTGGGTTCATTTTTCCCAGTCTCTGCTGATAAGGCCCCACAAGATGCCCCATTCCTGCAAGTGTCATCACTGGGGCCTCTGTCTTGCATAGGGACCTGGAGCACATTTCCTCGACAAGAGGCAGAACTGAGTGCCTTTCTCAAGTTGGCAGGAACTGAATGTACTTTCTAGTTTTCTCAAACTAGTGAATGTATTCATTCTTTGTCTAAACATTTGTACAGTCTTCCCTATAGTTCTTGATGCCTGGAATGTGCATCAGACCTTTAGCTGAAACCACCAAATACCTGAAGGTTACCATAACTAACTAGTCACAGATGTAGTATTAAGTCCACTCCCATTTTCCCCCTCTCTATACAGCAAACACTGGAGCTATAATATTATACATTCTTGGAACAGATGATACTCATAAACACAACGAATATCCTTTCCAGAGAGCA